CTTAAAAGTAAAAAAAAGTAAGTAATTGACACAAGTTATAAGAAAACATATATGAAAAAATAATAAAAGATCAGATAAATACATAATTTACTGTATAAATGTTGTAAAAGAAGTTAAAACTAAAGGATAGAAACATTAGCAAAAGCTAAAACATTCATTTATCCTATCGGGGTGGATAGTTCCCAGGTCAAAAATGATTTTGTTTTCTTGTAGTTTGCCTTTGTATTTGTTTGTAGGAGCCTTCTTCAAAACAAGTATTTTAAAAATGTTCAAAGGTATGGTTGTGCATATTAAAGTGTCGAGCCACAGGTTTATCTGTGATACCGTTTGTTATGTCTCTGAGATGTTCTCAGGTCTGTTCTGCTAATAATATACTGGTTTCTCCTATGTATAATTTTTCACAATATGTGCATATAGTGGAGTATGTGATGTATTTTAATGTGCAGTTATATTAACTTAAATAAACTGTTAGCTCTCCTGTGCAGGTTCCCCCCCCCCAACCCCCTGTAACTTAGGTTAATATATAAACAAGAAATGCAAGCAGTGAGTGTTCCCAAGCTAAAATGTAAAACAACAATGTTAACCTTTGCCTTAATCTGTGTGAAATCCAAGTTCTTACTTGGATTTCACTACAACATTAATAATACATACTTTAAATATAAACCTCAACTCCACTATCCTGGGAAGTAATTTATACAAAGTTTAATCATAGTAAATGTATACAACGTAATTAAGCTACAAGTGAAAGCCAAATGATGGCTGCACAAATGAAAATGAAAGTTAATCTTAATGTTGTGATTGAACTTGAAGAGTTCTCAGAGAGTGAAACAGCAGAAAAATATACTAACACTAGTAGTTTCCACATAGGAAGTTGTGGAAACACTGAATGAATGATAGTCATAATCTCTGATATTCAATGTAAATTCTATGGGAATTGTAAATTTATGTAAATCTGCTCTCCCAAGCCCCAACACTGCCTTAAATATGTCAATAAACCTTCAAGTTCCTGACTCAAGAAAACAATGATTATTTCTTGTAAGATAAGCTGGATAAAGGGCAGTGAAGATCAAGGATTAATCCATTCACTACTTTTATATGATTAGCAGACAAAAATAACTTAGCTCAGTAATTAAAAACAAGTTTATTATTCCTGTAAGAGAATCAAACAAGTGAGTTTCTTAATCCTCACTTAATACTTAATCTAGTTTGTCCCATAAAGAAAGTGAAAGTTAGTAACCTACTTGAGCACCATCTGGGGAATTATAAAAAACAATTTTTAAAATTGTTACTTTTTAAATTAAAAGGGTGGAAAGCATATAGTGTACCCCCTTACTACAATATCAAGCATTTCCAATTGTGTATCAAAGTTTTACAATCACTTGTTTATCTGCTAAACCACTTGTTCCAAAATTATGGGGCATGACCCATTGGTGAGTGACAGGATAAGACACAGTCAAATGTTAAACATATTTTGAAATTATAAAGAATTACCTGGAAATATTTTGGAACTAACTAAAACAAAATATGAGAGCACTACTAAAGCTTTCTGAAATGTATTAGAACAGTAACCCCTCCCCTGTTTGATTGTGGGTCCCAAAATTAGACATGTTTACTAGACAATGCTAGCTGCAAAATATCATTATTTTGTTTAAAAATTTCATTGCAGTTCTATTTCAGTTATGGATTTTTAATCTTATCAGGAAAGCCTCCTAATACTCATTTTATTCATTAGACTTGTAAATAACTCAGAAGCAGACCTTGCACTTATCCAGATGAGACTGGCCAATTTGGGAAATTCTATCAGACTACCAAATGGATTTCCTACAGATTTTAATACAAGGTAAAGAATTGTTTCTCTGTTACTTTATAATACAAATATTTTTATACAGGTGTAGGTGTAATATACTGGTTTCTCCTATGTATAATTTTTCACAATATGTGCATATAGTGGAGTATGTGATGTATTTTAATGTGCAGTTATATTAACTTAAATAAACTGTTAGCTCTCCTGTGAGAGATACTGAGAAATACTGTATTGTAACACCAGTTGAAAATAAGCATATACATCTTGTCTCAAAAATTTAAACCATAAACAGATTGCTATAATATCTCTTTGCTTTTTATCCAACTTATTTTATGCATTTCTGGTTATTTGCTGGTATATGGTATTAAGTTCTAATAAGTTTCAGTAAAATGTATTAACACTTTCCAATGGAGCTCAGAACTACAGACATGTATATGAGTGCTTGTTCTGTATATTGGTTATTCACTTTAAAATAAATCTGGTTAACCTCATAAATAATATTCAACGTTAAAACTGGTAGCAACATCTAAACATGTAGAGTCGTCAACTTTTTGAAGGCCATAGATAGGCCTAAACAAAATGTTTTTAATTGTGTACCAGTTTTAACATTGAATATTATTTATGATTTTAACTTTATACACAAGAGCCAAAATACAATAATTACTGGTTAACCTTCAAATTGCTGACTTACTGCCAGTAAGATCTGAACATTACTTCATATTGTGCAGTTTTATATATTTGTCTGCTACAAAATTTAGTGGAAATATTGTCCAAAAATTGGGTGAAATTATTCTTTTTTTTTATGTATCATCCTGTAATTTAAAGAGATGGGTTTGAGAATTCTGTTTAATGAAATATACAACAATGCAAATAAAATTACATGCAAATTACAAGATGAAACAGTTAAAATATATTGCTAGGAGCATTGATAGTTAAAAATAAGAGTATGGTCATACACTATTTATGAAAATTTGAAAAAAGGATGTGAATTGAAAAATTTATATTAGAAAATGTTGACATTATCAGATAATCAAATATGACTACAATAATGTGCTAAACTTTCAGTTACCTAGAATTGATGTGTGTGTATGTGTTCTTCTCATTTAATTAAACATAAGACATAATTCCACAGTCTTTTTCAGATGTGGTTGGTTAAGCATGTGTCATTTGTAACTGTAACAGTCAACCAATTACCAGTGTTGGACATTCTCAGTGGGTGTTGTGGACATTGTTTCTGATACTGGTGTTTGAGTATAGTGACTATGAAACCCTGGCACCTCTATAATGCTCTGCTTTAGCATTGTAGTGCATACCCTTGTAGGACTCCATGGTGGGTGGGGTCAGTGGGCACTGAAGTTTCTCTATTTTGTATGGATTTTGCATCCAGTAACTCAAGAAAAAAAAACATTGATAGGAAAGCAACCATGTTTAGAAGACTCTGAACAGCAGTCTCCTCCCCATTCAGCACCTGTACCTCATTTTTTCATCATGCATTCTTTATTAGACAAACCTTTAGGGCAGATGTTTCCCATTTTTATTCAGAAGGGATTAGAGGGGCTTACTGTTTCTCCAAAGTCAATTAAGAAGCTACGTTCTGGGAACGTCATGTTGAAAATATATAAAACATCTACACCAAAACACATTGTACTTCTTCTGAATTCGAAGGTCTTTGGGGATATACCTATTGAGGTTACTCCCCATGCTACTTTGAATTCCTCCCGAGGAGTAATTGTTGAGAGGGATTTACGAAACATCCTTGAGTTGGAGATCCTCTTCGGTTTCCCCAGCCAAGGAGTTTCTGCTATGTGATGTGTCTCCACTCGTAAATAAGGAATTATGCTATTCTTGTGTTGACATTTATATAGCCACATCCACCTTCCATTGTTAAGGCAGGTTATCTGAACTGTAAGGTAAAGTCTTATATTCCTAACCCAGCTTGGGTGTTTCCAATGTTAGCGGTTTGGACATTCAAAAGCATCCTTTTCTGGTTTTTTGACATGTACTCATTGTGCTGGCAAAGACCATAATGCCTATGAATGTCAACTGGATCCTCACTGTGTCAGTTTTGGTGGTTCCCACTCGTCTTACTTTCAATCTTGCCTAAATGAGTGGAGGAAAAAGAAGTATTATGTTTATGTTCTTTAAAAAACATTTCTTACCCTGAGGCTCAGAAGTTGGTGTCACCTGTTCCATCTAAGACATATTCTGCTCCTCTCCATTCCACTGCTACAGTGGGAGTGCAGACAGATCTTTCCTTGCTTCCGTCAGAGTCTTTTTCACATAATGTGAAGAGTCTTTTGCCCTCCATGGTTGTATGAGTTGACAAGTCTATGTCTACACCTGTCTCTGTCCCCACCATTGCTTCTGGTGACTGCTTGGGGGTCCATCTCATTCAGCCCTGAGGTGTAGAACCATTATTCGGTCACACCCTCAGTCACTAGAGTCTCTTTCTTCTGACAGAGATCTGCCCAATCAACCCAGGGCAGGTTCCATGGAGGTTGACAGACCTCTTTCTACTAAAGGAAAACATTGTGGTAATAAACAGAAGGGTTCTCCACCCACTTCTCCTTCACCTAAATAAAAATGGCCACTTTAATACAGTGGAACTGTCAAGGTTTTCGTTTTAATTAGGATGACATTAAGGTCGGATCGATTCCTACCATACCATTTGTCTCTCCTTACAAGAAACATTTCTGAAACCTGCTGATACTCTCACCTTTCGACAGTTTTCTTTATACCATTTCATTTGTTTTGTAATTGAAATCAGATTTTGTCACTGTATGTGTTTCTAAGGTTGGAAACTAATAGTGAAGAAGAGATTGTTAATATGACTTAGATAACAGGAATTATATTTACAAGTCATTCAGTTTATCATGTTTTGCAACTTTTTGATTGCCGTTTATGAGAGAAGTACTAGTGCCAAGGAATTAAACTTTCTTGCTTGTTAACTTTCATGTAAAATTAAGTGCAGGTGAAAGGTGGTTGTATTATTTTGTTGATCAAATTTATTAATGCAAGAGGCAAAATTATGTCACTGATGATGCTTTGTGTAATGCAAAAGAAGGTAGACAAATAATACACCATATTTTTATATACAGATAAATATGTTTAAAAACCTTTTTCTAGCATCACTAGATGGCAAGCTTTGAATGATATCTTAAAGCAGTTCAAAATTGTCATGTGTTTCAAGATCAGTAATGATATTATGTCTTTAAGCAACAGTTTAATAGAAGTAAACAATAGTCAAGTAAGGAAAAGATTAAAATAAATTAAGTCTATATATATTTATTTATGCTGAATTTTTGTTTTCTGATAAAGGAAGCTTCTATAGTTTTTCTATAATTTATATTGTTTTCCTAGTCAATGAAATTAAAACTTAAAAATCAAAGGAATGATTATGTTTAACCATGTATTCAAATATATAAGATGCTTTACAATGTTCATTTAATCTTGATGAAGCTATTGATTAAATTTTTTAGTGGAAGAACTGTCACAGTCTTTACATTTAACTGTGTAAACCAATTTTGATGTACCATTAACTACAAATTTTTTGACAGAAATTGACCTAATGTTTTATCTGGCAGAAAAGAAAAATTGCACATCAAATTCCATATCACACTCCTTTATTGTTTTTGACCACATTTTCTGGATAGCATGAGAAAATTTAGGAATTTTTGGAAACACAATAAAGGGACAGGTTTTCTAATCTCTTACTGTTAAACTCTTCAACCTGTAATTCATTTTTTAGAGATAATAATGTTTTATTTACCATTTTGGAAGGATACTTATTTTGTGATATGAGTTGGGATATTAATATGTTTTTCACAGAAAAGTCTGTTGAGAAGAATATCATATTTTATACTTGTGTGAAAAAGTTTTAATGATTCCTGTCTTTTATTTAGGATCATTTTATGAACTTATTAAAATTCATTATCATAGTTCTCTACTAGAACATTTAAGAATGTGAGTTTACCATAAACTTCATTTTTGACTGTAAATTTAACTTGGGGATAGCCGTAAATAGCAATTTCTGCTATTATGATCATAAATATATTAGTTTAAAAAGCTAAAACTAGATTTTCCATACTTAGACCTTTGATTTTCTCACAATTAACACCTTGAAATTGAAAATCAGAAAAAGTTGCTGAAAAAAAAGAAAAAATTATTTAATAACAGGAACATCTAGATGGGATTTAGGATTGGAGACATTCTGAAAACATTGTAGTGCATAGATAATCACTTTTCTAACTGTTACATGCATGAAAAATATTAGTTTTTTCATAAACATCTTAAGGCTTTTAATTCCTCAGATTTGTGGTTGGATTTCTAAACTCAAGGATTATCAATAAGTTTAGTGACCCCTGAAGAGAAAGCTTGAAACAGTTTTAAGATAGATTGATTGTTTAGAAAGTGAAGGAAAACTACTTTTGGTAATTTGAAAATATCAGGAAAATCATCTGAAGATTTACAATCAGCTGATATATAATCTTTTTTTTTCTTTCAGAAATTCAGTTTTCAATGGTTCTTGCATTGAATCTTTCTGGCTAGGTCTTGTGGCCAGTCCTATTTTTGGTTCTATTATTGGAAACTGTTTCAAAGCTTGTAGATAACTGTCAAAATGTAGTTTGATACATGCCTTTTATATTGCAACTTTATATCAGCTGTGATTTTTACATGACTTGGTGATTTGCAGATTCAAAATAGTTTTGATATAAAATATTAAACCCTCTGCAGTCGAAGCTAGAAATGAGTATACTTTTCCTGTATATGCATAGTTTTGATAACCTTCAAGGAATAGTAGCTAAACTCACCTAACTTATGACTTAAGTATTACAATTAGGTTATGGTCTTGACATTTTTTAAGAAAGTGAATGTTTAAACTTGCCTTTTTTTTGAATGAAGAAATTTTATGAAGTTTTTTGAAAGTATTCTAGGTAGCCATATTGTGATTTCCATTTAGATATTCAGACAGGATACCGTAACACAAATGAAAAAAAGGGTTGGCCATAATGATAAAACAGCATAAACTGAAAGCAGTCAAAGATAGTAATAACTCTCATACTTTTTGTCCCTGTGGCAGACATACTAAAGTACATATGAATAGGAAGGACATAAAAATAATGTAAACTAATTATTAAGGAAATAAACTATAAACTTTCTTGTGTGACAGAAGTTGTAAGCTTGATTATGTCAGTATGTTATCTTCTTTTACTTGTGTCTTTGAATGGCATCTGACTCATTTATACTAAGTGTGATAAAATTTACATTAGCGAAACATGTCCCATTAGGTCAGACCATTGTAGTAAATTGAATGAAAAAAAGATTAGCTGTTAGAAAACAGGTTAGTACAGAGAATTTTCCTCCACAAAATTGACCTCAAAGTGAAATTCATTTAGAAATTTGGGACCATTTCTCCACAAGTATAAATGAAAAATTTTCATTTATTTACTTATTTTTTGCCTGCTTACCTCTTTGGAAGATGAAAAATAAATGCAATTTTTTTAAGAAGTCTATTAAAGTGACAGTAACCTCCATGAAAAATATTATTTTTAAATAAACTTTTTCTTAGAGGATACTGTTATTTTTTTTACTTCACGTAACTATGACTTCACTAGTCCAATCAAGGCTATAGTACTTAATAAAGAAATGCTTATTTTTCAAGCCCCCTAGTGGCTCAGTGGTAAATCTGAGGGCTCCCACCACTGAAAACTGGATTTTGATACTTGTAGTGGGTACAACAGAGGTAGCCCATTGTGTAGATTTGCGCTTAACAACAAACAAAGTTTTTTTTGTTTTTGATATAATAAGAAATTAGTATTGAATTGATTGATTCTTGACCTCTTTTGCATCTTTTGTCAACAAGAGTGATTGTGTAATATTTACTTCTCATGTTGTTGAGGTGTTTGTTGGATTATGACTTGCTTTATGCAATATATATGTGTGTGTGTGTGTGTGTGTGTGTATAGATATATATATATATATATAACAGACCTCACAGTTAAACCTTTATTTTCATTCTCATTCTTTATTTCCTTTACTTTTGATCATAATAGGCCAAAAATACTTATAAAAGACTGTACATGTACATTTGAAGATAAACCTATATTTTCAACCAAAATCATCACCAAAAAAACGATAATTATTGAATACAGATCCATGTATTAAAATATAATGACTTTGCATCATACTTAATGTGGGGTGTGGGGTAGTAATTTAGCTTTCATTATCAGCATTATTAGAACTTGCATGGTAAAATTTCTGTCATCACAATGTTGTTTCTGACAAATAATTAACCAACAAACCAGAGAAGTTAGGCTTGTTAAGAACTGGAGGATTTCGGGCTTGAGTGTACATTTCTTTGTAAAATGCAACACTTTAATCAAAAAGAAAGATATACTACATAGGTTTACACAAAGTACAAATATTTACTAACACTCTCTCAATTCACAACACAAACAACAATGCTGTGTTTTAAATAAAAAGTATTGGTCTAACAAGTGCAATGAGACTAATTAACAATAAATTATTACTAGTGTGAGTTCTTCCACCTTTAAATTAGGCTACATTGTAAAAGAGAAGTAATAACAGAAAGTGTCCCCCCCCCCCAAGTTAAAATGTAAAACAATGAAGATAACCCTTGCTTTAATCTTTGTAAAATTCTAGTTGAATTTCACTACAACAATAATAACCCTTACTTTAAATAAAAGCTAATACACCACTATCCCATCAAACAACCTCTACAATATTTGCTTATGGTGAATGTCAACAACTTTAACGACCTACAAGCAAAAGCTGGACAGTTCTTATACAAATGAAAGTTAACCTCAATACTGCGAGAAAATTTGAGGATTTCTAAGTGAGTAAGACAACAGAAAAATATAATAACCTCTTACCAGAAATCTAACGTGAGAACTTTAGGAGCTCCTGTATAGAAGTTAAAGCTATTAAAATAATGCATAAAATCTTATGAAAACCCTGTATCTAAATCTATGTGAATTGTAAAGTTCTTGTAACCATAGAAATCATGTAAAATCTGAAAAACCTATATGCAAATATTCTGCCCTCCAAAGCTCCAATACTGCTTGAATATTTTGTTAAACTCCTAAGTTCCTGATACAAGAATGCAATGATTATTCTTTTTAGATCAGCTGGTTAATGGGTGGTGAATACCAAGAGCAATTCCATTAACAACTATTATCTGAATCACCTACAAGAATAACTTGGACACTAATTAAAAACACATTGTTGTTCCTGGAAGAAAATTTGATAAACAGTTTTACTTTGTAACTAAAGGGGTGAAAAACATATGGTACATTCTTGTAATACACACAAAATAATGGATTTCTTCAGGGAAGTTTTAGAGATGGGTGTAGAAATTCACATTTGTTATTAATCAGATATAAATTACATATATATATATATAACTCTTGATTTGTGAAACCATAATTTACTCTATATATATATTTTTGGAAAAAAGAACCTTTAAAAAAAAACCAGTTGGTCCAATGAGAAGTCTTATTATTTTAAAGTTAAATTTTAGTCTCAGCAAATTATGCATTTAATGTAGTCATGCTTGGTTATTTGATACTGTCAAACATTTTAAATTTGTGATGTTCATTGTTTAATTCATTTGTATGTGTTATTTTTTATGATAAATATATGTTTATATTTTTAATAAGTTTTTCCACTTCATTTATTTTGACATTTGGTTTAATTTATTTTTCTCTTGCATTTAATTGCATAAGAAATAGAAATTTCAAATTTGTTTCATGTTAAGGTATATTATTCTTACACAGCTTCTTCCTTCCATTGTATTTCATGTTTGGTTACAAAATTTTACTAACTTTAGTTGGTCATTAAGTTCTAACACATGTACTTGTTTCAAAAGATTATAGTAACCATTTCTGAAAATAAGTTATAAGGTCTGCTACTGTATATAACTTACAGTGGTTAATTTTAAATGGCATAATATCAAATACTGTATATTAAAATTATAATAATGTTATATGTGTTCAAGTAAAAAGTATATTTTATGTTCTTACTTGTTGCATACACCTTTATTTGCAGTTGGACTAAACAAGTGCCCCATGGTGGTGAGGTTACAGGCCTTCCAATGGTTTCCAGCAGTGAAGTGACATCGCCAAGCTCTGTATGGCCAGCCAGTGATGGTGAAACCAGGGTTAGCACTAGCAGTGGTAGTGATAGTTCATTAACAGGCTTCACTCGCACACAGAACTCTGAACTGTCTGTTACGACTCGTTTCTGTCATCAGTGTGGAACTAGGTATCCAATTTCAAGTGCAAAATATTGCTGTGAGTGTGGTGCCAGGCGCCTGGGGCTTGGGGTACCCTTTCTAAGCAGTGCCTAAGGCTTTCTGTTTTTAAAGATATATATGCATGTTTGGAACCCCTTCTCAAAGGTTGCATTTTAGTACACATGCTAGCTGAAGTAATATTGTTATATAGTAAACTGCACTTCACCCCATCTGGATGGATGGTGGTATTGCTTCACAAATAACTATATTTTGTACATACCTTGCCATTTAGAGTATAGTTACTTTTATTCTCTAGAATGCATCCAAAGTTACATAAACATATGGTAGTAACCACTGTAATACTGTATATTAAAATTGTAATAATGTTATATGTGTTCCAGTAAAAAGTATATTTTATGTTCTTAAAGTAAATTGAAATGTCATTAAAAGCTATGAACATTTTTATTTGAAAACAGAATACAATTCTGAAAATGGAAGATATCATTGTATGTAGTAAATTTGTTTTTAGTGTTCTGTTCAGTTGATGCTGCATTTTAAATTTCACCTTCTTTCAACATACAAATTAACATTCAGATTAAGAAATTAACTTTTCCTTAATCCAGAAAGACACACATTTTACTACACACTTCTAAGTATTTAAGGTACTAGTATAAGTATCTCCTGATTTTCAACTATGGAAAAAGTAGTATTTTATGTTGGCAGTCAGATGAAGTAGGATTTAACAGACTTTTTTATCCATTTTTAGGGAATGAACTCATGCAAGTGAAATATTATATTATTTTAAAAAGTTTCTCCAGATTAGAAATTATACAATACATTGAAATGCATGTGTTGGTTATGCATTACTTCAAACATTAAGTTTTAAAGTATAAAGAATATGGACTTCATGCACAACTTATAGACTTTACCATTATCATCATTTTCATCTCTTTTTCATTATTTTAAACCATAATGAGTTGCATTTTAATAGTAAGTGCTGTTTCTTGTGTTCATTTAGTTTTTGATTTTGTTAATTTCTTAAACATCACTGTACTAGAAATGTAATTATGCCTCAAGTTTTAGCTTGAAGTTGATTTTTTTAATCTAGGTATTTTGCTTTTATGATAGTTTCTTCTTTGCAAAAAACTAAATAATTGACACTTTATGCTATGAATTATTTAGAACATTAAGATAGTTTAGTGTATAATTCTTGCCTGAGAACATAGTATTTTGTGTGCAGCATTTCACAATCACAATATAAAATGCACAGAGCCTCATGTGGAATGATTAGGAATGTATATTGTAATATCTTTTGTGGATCCGTCCAATTTATTGTCAGCTAGTTTTAGTGGCCTTGTGTAAATACAAGTATTTGTTAACATTTATAGATATATATATATATATATATATATTAAAATGAAAAAATAAATACATAGATAAATATGGCATCTTTGGAGATGTGTAATTCTTGTAAGAGCAACAGCTTCTCCTAAAAAAGTATTTTAATGTTATTGAACTTTTTAGCCACATCTAGAAGCACAAAACACTATTTTTAAACCCCAAAACTAGTTTTTGTAATTGCTATTTCATGATAATATAAGGGTACATTTATAAACATGATAGTTTGGTAATATTGTTTACCAGGAATTGATTGTTGATGGAGTGCACAAAATGGAATCCTACAAATGTTTAAAAGTACACATAGGTGTTATTAAAATATATATATATTTTTTATGAGAAGTTGAAAATAACTTTTCATTTAATCTTATTTTTTTGTTTCATTTTATTCAAAATCAGCATTTATTAAGATTTTAGATCAATTAACATCATATGTTGATAGAATTGAGGTTATTGTGAGTTGATTAATGAAATAATAAAAAAAGAATTGAGGCAGTGTAGATAAAGATAAACTTGTGTTGGTCAATGTTTCCTAAATAATATGAAGCTGTGACACAGGTCAGTGGTATTCAATAGAGTAAACAGTAGTTTGATTGATTATTTATAATATATAGGACCAATTTTTGCACATCTTTATTTAAAATTCCAAATGTTCCCATACTTTAAAAACATGGATTAATTTGATGGATACATTTGTCAATTTATGGAGAGTTTGACCATAATCAAATTATACGTGCTTCTTTAATGTTTCAGAAATTCAATCAAAAATTAACTACATTTCTTACTTGGAACATTTTCTAGAGCACATTATTAGTTTTCTTTGAAGGAGCAAGTTATCAAAATACATAAATTTTGATGCTGTGAAGCACTTATATATTTCAATTGCAGAATTTCTTAATGAAGTTATTTTATATATGTATTTACCCTAGTAAGTCAATAGAAAGACCATTTGGAGAAAATATATACTGGCTTTCTGCTGAATTAACCATAAATCTTAAACCCTGAAAATACTGTAATATTGACATCTTTTTTTATTCATACCCCACCCTTTAAACCTTTTTCAGTCTGAAAAAGTATTTAAGTTTGTCCACCTTTTAGTTGGATCAAGCATTAGGCTTAACTTTACATTTTCTTTGAAATATCTCAAGTACACAGTATAAACTCACATTGTGCAACAAACCCTGTTGAATTTTTAAGATAAGTAGACAGTTTTCATCCACAGTATTTTTAAGCTATTCACATGTGTACTACAGTATTTAAGCTCATTGTGCACATTAGTTCTTTTTATTCTTTACTACTTAGCCTGTTCATACCAATGAGTATTTCTTTATATGAAAAAAATCCTGTGGGCAAAATAGTGATCAGAGCAGTGTGAAAATTATACTCTGGGGTAAAGATTAATCAGCCAACATTAATTCTAAAATTATTAGAAAAATATTAATGAATTAAGAATAGTAGTAATATATTTCTGAGACATAATCAAATGAGTTAAATTATTTTGAGTCTTGTGTACAAATTAGTAATAAGCTACAAAAATAAAACTAGGTCAGTATTAATTGAAGAAAGAAATGTGTGTGTGTGTGTGTGTACATACTTATAAATGATTCAATGTATGCCAACACTCGTATATTTATATTGTTTTTTTTAATTGAGTAAGTACAAATGCAAGCTTCATACAAATCTAACTATGTTCTTACTTCTTTTTGTTAATGAGTTATGGGATGAGATATACAAATTTACTGCAGACTGAATATAATTGTGGCATAAGCATTTGTCCCTTTGCAATAATAAATTACAGATGTTTATGGTTCATTATTTATAGTACAATTTAAACAATTACCGGCAGTAAATGAGACTTCTGGATATTGTTTCACAGAGTAGAAATATTTATCACAACATTACATAACTAGAAAATATCATGTAATCGAAAATGAAGCTAAGATCCACTATTAAAGAACAAGTTTATATGTAAACAGATTTCAACACTGTCACGCGTCCTCTTCTCTCCAACTTCCGAGATATATATATACACACAGCGTGGTCACAAGTAAATAGACATCACCTTTTCAGAAAAAATGAAATTTTTCAGTCATATTCACATGAACTGATATATTTATAATATACTTAATACCTAGTAGATCTTCCTTTTGCTTCATGGAGTTCGTTGATCCTTTGGGGCATTGTGAGAATCATCTCATCAATTTTAGATTGTGGGACTTTCGCCCACTCTTGCTTCAAAACTTGGAGTAGATCGCTCTTCGAAGTTGGTTTTTTCAGTTGTTTCTTGATTTGCCGGTCGAGTATGGCCCAGAGGTTTTCGATGGGGCTCATGTCAGCAGATTGGCTTGGACAGGGCAACTTCTGGATACCATTTTCTTCCTGCCACTTTTGGGTGTTTCTAGCAGTGTAACACGGTGCTCCGTCTTTCTGGAACAACGTTGTGTTCTTGTCCACGAAACACGAGGAATAAAGTGGCAAGAGTCCTTCCTCCAATATTTCGACTTATTTCGCAAAATTTATGTTGCCAACGCACTCCACTAAGATCGATCTCCCACCAACCCAAACAGCTCCCCAAACCATCACGCTGAAACCACCATGCTTCACAGTTGGCTGCAATCTATTGAGCCAAAACTCTTGGTGAGGCATTCTTCAGACCCATATCCTTCCACTGTCCTAAAATTGAGCGAATCTTGATTCGTCTGAGAACAATACAGTCTTCCAAAAGTCCAGAGGCTTGGTCATCATATCACTTGCCCACTTCTTTCATCTGACTATGTTGGCAGGTCTTAATAAGGGCTTCCGTCAAGCTGCTCTGCAACGATAACCC